ATTTCAGCGTCAGGAGCAGCAGGTTTACATGCAAAGTCTATGGTGGACGCGCTTCAAGCAACGTCGGGAAATATGTCGCTACGTCACACAGTGGAGTCTCTCTGATTGGTTGACGCTGCGCGTCGAGCTGCAAAAGTTCAGATTTTCTAACTAGCTTGATTTGGACGATTTGGACGATCTGAGCGTTCGACGCTCAGATCGTCCAAATCGTCCAAATCGCGCTGCTCTAATCGCGCTTGAGGCGCCGCAGAACTTCCCGACGTTGCTTGAAGCGCCTCCACCATAGACTTTGTATGTAAACCTGCTGCTCCTGACGCTGAAATCGCGTTCGGTGTGAACGCACCATTAGAATCATATGGATGAGACGATTCCGTTGGTCATGACTCTGCTTTGGGTGGACTGACAAGGTCCTGATGGGTCTGCCAGCTCCCTCTGGAAAGCTCCTGTTGAACCCCAGTTCAATCGCTGCTGCTGCACGTGCACGCATGGCGCACGCTGCTACTCACTGCGTCACGCTCCCAGAGCGCAGCAGTGCCAAACTAAAAAATGATTTTTCCTCAAAACAGCTGATGAGCCACTCGTCATCAGAAAATTATATCTGTTTATAAATTAATGTTCTGTGTGTTACACTATTTATTATATCCTCCAGTAAAGCTGAGTCAGTTCCTGTTAAATGTATTTTTGGCACAACTCTGCGCGTCCTTTATTTACCTGCGTCCATGTGGATGTAATAATTGTTAATCATGTGGATGTAATAATTGTTAATCATGTGGATGTAATAATTGTTAATCATGTGGATGTAATAATTGTTAACCATGTGTGTCTGCTGTGAACAATAATCATTTTCACATCATAAACAGTTTCTCAGAATCACCTCTAAGTGTCGCCAATGGAACCAGAACCACAGAAACGTGCGTACACCAGCCCTGGAGTTGTTGTGGGGCTGCGCACATTACCACGTTCAGTTGAGTTTTGATACATCCGGAGTTTTGAGTGGAAAATGGCGTACGCAAGGTTTTTGTGCGTACGCACCATTGATACATGAGGCCCCAGGTGTTTTCAGGTCTCAGGTCTCTATAGAGGCTTGAAGCTGTTTTGTCCAACAAGATGAAAACTTAGAGGTTTATGATGAACCAACTCTCTGTCAGCTGCTGCTCATCTCTTCCTCGGTGTCGGACAGTAAAGAAATAATCATGTATGTTTTTAACCTAACCTGTGCGTCCTGTCTCCTGCAGGCACAGTGACTATAAGGTTGTTTCTCCTGCTTTACGGGCTGTAGGAAACATCGTGACAGGAGATGACGTCCAGACTCAGGTAAATCTTCTCACCTGATGCTGAAATATAACCGGCTGTAATGTTTTTACTGAACCATATATCTGTTTGTTGTTCTTTTTTAGCAAAGTATCTCATAAACAGAAGAGTCGGGTCTAAAACTGTAGATGTGTGTTTTAACTGTTTGTTCGGCCCGTCAGGTAATCTTGAACTGTTCAGCGCTGCCATGTTTACTGCACCTCCTCAGCAGCCCCAAAGAGTCCATAAAGAAGGAGGCGTGTTGGACCGTGTCCAACATCACCGCAGGAAACCGGGCTCAGATCCAGGTACAGGCTGACCCATCTAGGTTTCAGAGGGTCCGTGCTTCTTCCTGACTCTCAGCTCTTCTCCCATCAGAATGTGATAGACGCCAACATTTTCCCCGTGCTGATCGAGATCCTCCAGAAAGCCGAGTTCCGCACGAGGAAGGAAGCGGCGTGGGCCATTACTAACGCCACATCTGGAGGCACATCTGCACAGATCAGGTATGTGAGCAGGGCGTCCCCTTCAAACCACTCTGTTAATCACCAGGGCTGGTGCTACAGCTGTTTTACAGTGGGGAAAATAAGTATTTAGTCAGTCAGCAATTGTGCAAGTTCTCCCACTTAAAAAGATGAGAGAGGCCTGTAATTGACAACATAGGTAGACCTCAACTATGAGAGACAAAACGTGAAAAAAAATTTGAGAAAATCATTTTTTCTGACTTTTAAAGAATTTTTTTGCAAATAATGGTGGAAAATAAGTATTTGGTCAATAACAAAAGTTCATCTCAATACTTTGTTGTATA